GCAGTTGTGCAGCTAAAACTGCAATACAACGAAGATAGTGAACAAGGAAATGGAAAAAAAAAAAAAACGAGAAATCAAAAATACACAATAACACTAAAGCAATGCACGAATTTTACAAACTGTCGACCGTTAATAATAACAATAATGGTAATAATAATGCTGACAATAATACTATATAACAATAATATCATAGTAATAATAACACAACAATAATGATAACGATTTATTATTCAGATGGCAAAAGTTTTTGTGACACTGAATTAAGGTGAGTTACGGAGAAGATATTGACTTCTGATTTTGACTGAATGCAGCATGTATGATTGCGATGCGTTGGCTTATTTGGAAACAAACAAACCTGTATTACACAACGTCCGACGTTCGAATTGGCACCATTCTGCACCACCAAATCACCTGGTTGCAAAACAGCAAAGTCTTTTAGCATTCTAAAAGCTGTTGGCGGATTGATCTGTAATGTAGCAGTGCTAGAGTCTCTGCGATCGAAACTGAATTACTCCACTAAATCCTCTGCATGAAGGGAACAGTTGCGGAACTGAGTTTATTAGAAAGATAAGAGATAAAAGCTAATGATTCTTCGCCGTTCGAGAGATAAAGTGCACCGTAAGTAGCGCAGACTGCCCATTGCAAAGGCAAAAATCTTCATACAGAACCACAGTATCCCGGGAAATATGGGTAAATGCTCGTACTGTTGTTAACAGCTCATGCAATTCTAATACTATGTTGTTAACAGCCCATGCAATTCTAATACTATGCTAAACACTTACAGGGATGAATGGAAAAAGAAGAATCACGAACAAATCTAGAATTTATAGAAATATTTCTATTGCAAATGGCGCTTTTTATTTGACAGGATTTATGCCCTGTTACCATGTATTCCTAGCTGACAAGATACTATGTTGCCTAGATGGGATGAGGTCCAGTTTTACGCATATATAGACGCCCACATACAAAAAACATACATACCTACACATACACACTTAAATACGCACACACACACCAGCTGATCTCGAAACGACAAAAGTCTTGCTGACTGCTTTATCAGAAAAACCACCAAAATGGTAATTTCTTCAGCAGGCGAAACGAACATCAGGATCGCTGGCAAGCTAAGTAAAAATGCTTTCAGCTGCAATGTTAGACAAAAACTTAAAAAAAAAAAAGCAGCTGATTTAATTTGTTGCTTGTTTGGAAGTCACTGATTTTCAAAAGCATGTAAAAATCGGGAAAATTAACCATTATTTTAAACATGCTTTGAAAAAGCTGGCGCTGCGCCTCAACTACGCAACTTCTCAACAATCCTGGCGTTCGTTTATCATCTGAAGTGATTACCAATTCAAAAATTTCCTTCACTGAAGCACCTTGGCAAGGCCACAGCCAATTCGAGCATGATGGAGCACCGCACCGACCGGAAGCTTTTAAACGCGTATTAGAATAAGAAACTACGAATCGGTATCAGTTGGTGAGAAAGAAGAATACCTGGAATGTAGCTGCCGACTCAAACGGTATGTCATTGCCAATTTTGAATAAATCGCGCTCAGCGTGATTACCAAATGTACGCCAACACCCAACGGCCGAATGGGCCGGAACAACCCAGTCACCACTGCGTAAACTCGTCACTCCACGCCCAGTCTACGCGGTAATTACGTTTATTAGTCCTGTTGTTTGAAGCTAATTTATGTTTTTGGGCAAAATATGCGCGCGGGAAGTCTTCAAAAAGAAAACGTAATTCCTTCAATGATATAACTGCTTTCGTCATTATGAATAAATCGTACAAGGAATGGTTGCTACACTGCCCCAAACCGAGGCAAACACACACCGAAAAGTAACCGAACTTCCATTCCTGTGGATCCCCCGAGTCGTAATATGTTAGCCAAATGGGTTAAACTGCCAAATAAGAAAAACCAAAGCAGCCAAAAAATTCTTGGAAGGTGGGGACGTAGACCTCAATAGCCACAGGGTTATTTCAGAGAAAACTCAATGTCGTGGCAAGTATCACTGGCTCAAAATATAGCAGTGAAGAGAACAGTCCACTCCCAATTTGCTGTTTTACCTCGATGATAAATTCGTAGTGATAAGCTGGAAGACAAATTGCCTTCCGCTTACTTCTCAGGCAATTTCGAATGGGAAGCGGGAAAAGAGGGCGTGAGTGAGGAGCGAAAGTAGAAGATTTGAGAGAGTCCAGCAAAAGATGGTTTATACATGAAATATTTGATCCCGGGGCAGAAAAAAATTACCTCTTCAATTACGCCGAAACCTTCGATTCCGGCAACGGCGGGCAGTGGTGGCTGTACGGGATAGAATCCTTGCACCTGGTTGATATCGGCTGGATCA